TCAAACTACGTTCAGTTGGGTTGCTTCCCATCACCGCCTGGCTCCATCACCTCCTGGCTCCCACTCACCTCCCTGGCTCCATCACCCTGGCTCCCATCACCTCCCTGGCCCCATCACCACCCCAGCCCCATCACCGCCCTGCTCCCACACCGCCCTGGCTCCCATCACCGCCCTTGCTCCCATCACCTCCTGGCTCCATCCCCACCGCCCTAGCTCCCCATCACCTCCCTGTCCATCACACCTCCCAGCTCCCATCACCTCCCTGGCTCCCCATCACCTCCCTGGCTCCCATCACCGCCCTGGCTCCCATCACCTCCCCTGGCTCCATCACCTCCCCTGGCTCCACATCACCGCCCTCCCTGGCTCCCATCACCTCCCTAGCTCCCATCACCGCCCTGGCTCCCATCACCTCCCTGGCTCCCCATCACCTCCTGGCTCCCATCCACCGCCTGGCTCCCATCACCGCCCTGGCTCCCATCACCTCCTGGCTCCCATCACCTCCCTGGCTCCCATCACCGCCCTGGCTTTCCCATCCACCGCCCTGGCTCCCATCACCTCCCTGGCTCCCATCACCGCCCTTGCTCCCATCACCGCCCTGGCTCCCATCACCGCCCTGGCTCCCATCACCGCCCTGGCTCCATCACCGCCCTGGCTCCCCATCACCGCCCTGAGCCCATCACCTCCTGGCTCCCATCACCTCCCTGGCTCCCTCACACCGCCACCAGCTCCCATCACCCGCCCTGGCTCCCCATCACCGCCCCTGGCTCCCATCACCGCCCTGGCTCCCATCCTGCCCTGGCTCCCCATCTCCCCCTGTCCCATCACCACGCTCCCATCCCACCCTCCCAGCTCCCCCATCTCCCTAGCCCCCATCACCCGCCCTGCTCCCCACACCGCCCTGTCCCACACCTCCTGGCCCCATCACCGCCCTAGCTCCCATCACGCCCTGGCTCCATCACCCGCCCTGGCTCCATCACCGCCCTGGCTCCCATCACCCCCCTGGCTCCCATCACCCGCCTGGCTCCCATCACCGCCCTAGCTCCATCACCTCCTGGCTCCCATCACCACCGCCCTGGCTCCCATCACCGCCCTGGCTCCCATCACCGCCCTACTCCATCACCGCCCTGGCTCCCATCACCTCCCCTGGCTCCCATCACCGCCCCTAGCTCCCATCACCTCCCTGTCCCATCACCCGCCCTGGCTCCCATCACCCTTCAGCTCCCATCACCTCCCCTGGCTCCCATCACCTCCCTGGCTCCCATCACCTCCTGGCTCCCATCACCTCCCAACTCATCACCGCCCTGGCTCCCATCACCGCCCTAGCTCCATCCTGCCTGTCCCATCACCGCCCCAAGCTCCCCATCACCGCCCTGCTCCCATCACCGCCTGGCTCACATCACCGCCCCGGCTCCCATCACCGCCCTGGCTCCCATCACCGCCCTGGCTCCCATCACCGCCCTGGCTCCCATCACCGCCCTGGCTCCACATCCACCGCCCTGGCTCCCATCACCGCCCTGGCTCCCATCACCTCCCTGGCTCCCATCACCGCCCTAGCTCCCATCACCTCCCTGATCCATCACGCCCTGGCTCCCATCCACCGCCCTAGCTCCATCACCTCCCCTGGCTCCCATCACCTCCCTGGCTCACATCACCTCCCTGGCTCCCATCCAGCGCCCAAGCTCCCATCACCGCCCTGGCTCCCCATCACCGCCCTAGCTCCCATCACCGCCCTAGCTCCCATCACCTCCCTGGCTCCCATCTCCCTAACCCCATCTCACCCCCTGGCTCCCATCCTCCCTGGCTCCCACACCACCCTGGCTCCCATCACCGCCCCAGCCCCACACCTCCCTGGCTCCAACACCTCCCTGCTCCCATCACTGCACAGGCTCCCATCACCGCCCTGAAACTCCCATCACCACACAATCCCATCCTAGCCTGCTCCCATCACCGCCCTGAGCTCCCATCACCCCCCTGGCTCCCATCACCGCCCTGGCTCCCCATCCCTGCCCTAAACTCCCATCACCGCCTGGCTCCCATCACCGCCCTGGCTCCCATCACCCGCCTGCTCCCATCACCGCCTGAAACCATCTGCCCTGGCTCCCCATCACCGCCTGAAAACTCCCATCTGCATACAAACTCCCATCACCTCCTGGCTCCCATCACCTCCCTGGCTCCCATCACCTCCTGTCCCCGCCCTGTCTCACATCACCGCCCTAGCTCCCATCCACCTCCTGGCTCCCATCACCTCCCTGACTCCCCATCACCTCCCTGGCTCCCACATCACCATGCAAACCCCATCACCTCACCTGGCTCCATCACCCGCCCTGGCTCCCATCACCGCCCACAGGCTCCCCATCACCCCTGGCTCCATCACCTCCCTGGCTCCATCACCGCCCTGCTCCCATCACCGCCCTAGCTCCCATCCTCCCTGGCTCTCCCATCACGCCCTGCTCCATCACCGCCCTAGCTCCCCATCACCGCCCTGGCTCCCATCACCGCCTAGCTCCCATCACCTCCCTGGCTCCACATCACCGCCCTGGCTCCCATCACCTCCCTGGCTCCCATCACCCTGGCTCCCCATCCGCCCCTAGCTCCCATCACCTCCCTGGCTCCCATCACCTCCCTGGCTCCAGTCACACAAGCTCAAGCTCCCTGAAGTCTTAAAAGAACAACTTCAGGCCTCATAGCTCCTATAATTAATTCTCGTATCTCAATAGTTTAACTGATAAAACTGATCTCCAGGAATGGCGCAGAATTACCCAGAGACTCCAACCCTGGGAAGATACGTTTATTTATCATCAATTTAGGAGGTAAAAATAACATCACAAACAGCATCAGAATTACACTGAGAAACATCATGTCATTAAATAGGTTCTTTTGCACCACCAGTTAGGAGGACAGAAATAACGTCTAAAATGGCGACCAAATTATACCGAGACACAATTAGACACACTCACTTAACACCAGACAAAATTAACATAGAGATCTTTGCAGGAATCTGTATGTTAATTATGCTCATTAAATAGTGCCACGTGGATGTTTGGTTCGAGTAAGTCTCAAGTGTAATTTGGTGACATTTAATGGTTTATTGGTATACTGTGTGTTATATATAAACACCATCGTCTCAAAGGGTTAAACCATAGTCAAAGGGTTAAATTAATTGTCTTCAGGGCTTAACCATCGTCCTCAGCTTATACGAAGCCCTCTGAGCCTGCACGACCTTCTGAGCCTGTGGTAGTACCTGCCCTTTCACCCGGACGACCATGACGATCCGTGAGCCGTTCACTATGTTATGGAAGACTAAAGTGGGAAACTCTTAACGGCAGCAAGAGGAGGGTGTTGACAAGTGAATCTCTCTCTCTCTCTCTCTCTCCTCTCTCTCTCTCTCTCTCCTCTCTCTCTCTCTCTCTCTCTCTCTCTACCCATCTCTCTTTCTTTCTCTACCATATAATTGCTATATTGTGCAGAGAGAGAGGAGAGAAAAAGACAACAGACAGACAGAGATGGCAGGCAACTACAGGTATTTATAACCAGAGTGTTGACAGCCTCAGGTAACTCAGTCATCAGCGTGTGTGTTAAAAAGTCACTATTACAAATATTTACAACCCAAGATACACCTTCCTTCCCCTCCGCCACCATCACCCACCTAACACCATTACTTACCTGGTTATGTCTCACTAAACGACTCAGGTGATCGGCTCTGTTAGTCTGTCCGTGTGTGTGTGTATTTTGGTTATTTCTCCGGCAGAGTTGGTCATCACTGTCATGAAGTTTGTTATAGAGAATTCCCTAGGTGGTTCAGAGGATGGTATTAATAAGTTTGTTGTAAATGTTTCTAGATCTCACGTCATACGCCCGCCAGCAGTCATCAAGGCAGGAGGATCATCGTGGGAGACGAAAGAATATTCAGTCAGGGCCCAAACTGTTGTACGGCATAAGGGGCCTGTTGTATATAAGGGAGGTAAGGAGTTTTCTGTCTAGGGAGGTTAGGAGAATGAAGAGTATATCTTCTAGTGATAATCAGTTTGTCTTCATGTTTATCTTGTCATCCATATAACTCACCCTTCTGTCATCACCCAGAGCATCATAACTTAACCTAACCCTTCATCACACCAGGTTAATGATGCACGGAATGAGGCCAGATGTTTGCTCGAGGTCATCTGTTTTCGGGTCTTGTTGAAAGCAAAATACACAGCTGTCTTCCAGATGTCCCCGCCCACCATCAGGGAACGGAGGGTAGGGGAGGAAATTAAAAATAGATTGGCGGGGAGAGAGAGAGAGACCCAGTACTCTGCCTGACTCCTCATATCTCGTGCGACTTACTGGAGATGTGTAGATGACCGCCACCAGCCTCTTGTTTTAACATGTTTCCATTCTACTGACGAAGAAACAGGGCTGGTGGTGGATGGAGGTGAGGGCGTGTGAGGAGTATGGGGGGAGGAGGTATAAGTGCCAGTGGTCCCCTTTGGGCTTGGTTATTACGTTGAAGACACAACACATCCCTGGGCACCTGTGAAGTCTTGGGCCAATAACGACCCACATTACCTCCTTTGTTATGGTGTGGGTGAGAGGGGTGGAGGGTGGGAGGTGGGAGGGAAGGAGGTGTGTGTGTGTGTGTGTGTACATAGACACCTTCAGCATGCGAGTATAGTAGTAGTAGTAGTAGTAGTGGTGTAGTGGGGAGGCAGGTGTGTTTACATACATTCACCTTGGCCTCCATTCATCTATTCACAAGAAGCTGACGTGAGTGTGTGAGTGTAGTGGCAGTTTATTTACGCTTCACCCATTCACCACTTTTTCATTCATTCATTCATACAAAAAGTGTAGTAGTAGTAGTAGTAGTAGTAGTAGTAGTAGTAGTAGTAGTAGTAGTAGTGGTGGTGGTGGTGGTGGTGTTATGGTGTGTGGGAGAGTGTGTTTACATACTAGGTGGTGACTGGCCATTAGGAGAGAGAGGAGAAACTGCTTTTGATTTACTGTTATTGTTATACACACACACACACACACACACACACACACACACACACACACACACACACACACACACACACACACACACCTGCTACGTCAGTATTCTAAAAAACCCAAGTCAAATTTTCCTCTTGACTCGTGATGTGAGAACTACTTAGCGGGAGTCTTATGATCTGCAGCGCGACGGAGATGACGACAAAAATGGCGTCGTAATTACACCGAGACTTTAACCATGATTAGCGTTCTTTATTGACGGGGAAAATAATTGACTTACTGGTCTTCTAAAGAATAATGACTGTCTTAGCTCTTTCTCATGGCACTACGACTGAATGTGCAGAGTTAAAATGGCGGAGAAATTGCCCTGAGACTTTACCGTAATTGTGTATTTTTTCACTTCGGGGATTTCTTTTTTTTACCTTATACTTTTGTGATTTTAGTATTTTTTTATCCTTTCACAGGAGGGGTGAGGGTGGAGGATGAGGGTGGAGGATGAGTGGTGGAGGATGAGTGGTGGAGGATGAGGGTGGAGGATGAGTGGTGGAGGATGAGGGTGGAGGATGAGTGGTGGAGGATGAGTGGTGGAGGATGAGTGTTAAGGATGATGGTAGAGGATGAGGGGTGGAGGATGAGTGTTGGAGGATGAGAGTGGAGGATGAGTGTTGGAGGATGAGTGGTGGAGGATGAGTGTTGGAGGATGAGTGGTGGAGGTTGGAGGTGAGTGAGGTGTGGTCTTCCTCCATATTACCTCACTTAACCTTTGAGACATCTGCTCAGCTCGTTTCTCTACCTCTCGTGTTCTGTCTATTCATTCAACCTGAACAGGTAAGTCTGTACTTGACCTGACTTATCTCTAACCAATACTTGGAGATAACTCTCTCTCTCTCTCTCTCTCTCTCTCTCTCTCTCTCTCTCTCTCTCCAGCCAAAACATCAACACCAATACCTCACACTCAAGCGGCGTCTGACGTGTAAAGTTTTCAAGCACAAGTGAGATTTTTAACTCCAAGTTTCTCGTGAGGTAAAGTTTTAAGGCTTTAACCTCTCGTTTTAAGAAAAGTTTAAGTGTAAATGATCTTAACCATGAAAGTTTAAAGTGGAAAAAGTTTTAAGAGATAAAGTGGTTCATTGTTTCCAAGTTAAAGTGGCTGATTTGGAGAATAAACAAAGCTTTTAAGAGAAAGTTTCAAGTGAGAAAGTTTTTTAAAAGTAATGGACTTTACCTCAAGTTGTAAGTCGGAAAAGTTTAAGAAAACTTAATCGTTATATTTTATTTTGAACTGGGGAATATTTGTTGAATTAAGTAGTATATTAAGTTTTAAGTAAGGAACTAGGTTGAGGGTCTTTAATCTTCAAATAGTAAGGACAGTTTAGAAAGGCATTACAGGTCGACCTACACCCATAAAATTTAAGGATAAATCAACCTACTTTAGATTATTTTATTTATTTTTTTAAATTTGTCATATTTTCGCAAATTTTATTAGAGAAAGTTTTGAAAGACAAGATGAGAGTTTCAGTTAACACTTTCTAAGAATATAAACAATGGCAGAGAAAGTTTGGGTGATAGAAAAATATATAGATTCTTCTAGCTTTCACGTCTTGAGTGAAAGTATGAAAGGAGGGAAAGTTGTCTCAATGAGGGATGAAAGTTTTTGAAGATGTATGAAGCAAAAGAAGAGAGAGAGAGAGGTAAGGAGGAATTGAGAGAAGGGGAAAGGAGAGACGAAGGAAGTGAGGAAAAATCACGAGAGATAAGGAGGAATAAGAGGAGGAGAGAAAAGAAGAGAGAGAGGTACTCAACAAAAAAGCAGGTTAATGAGATTCTTGACACGTTATAAAGTCCCTCCCCCTTCACCTAGCCCACGTCAAGAAGTACACCCAGACTTTACCTACACCATAACAAGATACCTCTCTCGTCTCTACTTTGGGAAAATTCT